TGGGCAGAGATGGCTGGCTACTAGCCTAGGTCCAGGTTCCGTGAGAGTCCATGTTTCACCAGAATGCCATGGAGAGTGAGAGATCAGAGCACCTCTTGTTCTCCTCTGGCCTCCCTGTCCATGCATATTGGCACGTGAGCCTGTACACAAACATGTAAACAGTGCTCATGTGTTTACACACATGCAGACGTCACATGAGGAAAGTGAACTTACAGTTGGCAGAATGAAACCACAACAAATCAAATTTAATTTAAAAAAAAAACTGCTTTTGGAAAGGACTTCCAGAGAACTGTAGAATCCTAAAGAAGCAACAGTGGGACAGAATTGTGGTAATCAATCTTGATTGCAACCTTGGCTGGATTTAAAAGCACTTAAGAGGCACACCTCTGGGTAGGTCTGTGAGGTGTTTCATGACAGGTTTAAGCGAAGAGGGAAGACCACTCTGACCATCGGGGGCCCCATCCCATGGGCCAGGGTCCTGGGATGATTAAAATGGAAATAGAGAAGGCTAGAGAGCACCAACACTCTTCCGTCGCTACTCTCTGAGTGCGGTCACAGTGTGGCCAGCTTTCTCACAGTCCCTCAGCCAGGCCCTCCTTGTCATGATGGACTGTTCACTTAAACCGCAAGCCAAGCTTCCTCTCTCTGGTTGTTTCTCATTGGACATTTGTTTACAACAAGAAAAAATAACAGAGAAAATCCCCCACATCATGTTAACACGAAAAGACAAGCAGAGATAAAATTGTAGAGGTGAGCATTTAAAAATAATCACAAACATTAAAAACAATAAAAAGGAAATCGCTTATTTCTGGAAAATAATGAAACATCTCCCTAAATGCCATCTGTATATATATTTTCAAAAGACATGAGAGAGTAGAGAGAAACCCAGGAAACTTCACGGGGTAGTGCTGTGCTTCAGAAAGAATGTAGGGAACCATACAGAAGCATGCTCAGTTGAGTTTTCGAAACAGAAAAAAACAGGAAGAAAGAGAACATAATTCTGCCTTTCTCATAAAAGACAAAAGAGAGCTCCCAAGTGTTTGCTGTGAGATGGTGTCTTCTACAAAACCTCACCGACACGATGAGGATCTGAACAAAGACATCAGGTGACATGCTAATGTGGCTGGGGGAAGCTTAGAAGGCCCCAACTCTACACAAAGTACTACAGACAACTGCAGAATCCCGAGAGCAGAAGTGATCTTCCCCAGAGAAGGACACAGAGCAGGTTATCCAATGCCAGACAGTCAGCCTTGAAAATACACATACAAGTAATGTTAGACATGCTGAGCAGGTTGTATTTATGTATATAGAAATATATATGTATGTACACGTGTGCATTTAACAACAATTAATAGAGGAAGAAGCCATGAGCCTGAAATAGAGAGGAAATTGGAGGGTTTCAAGAGAAGGAAGGGAAGGAGAAATGATATATTATAATCTCAAAAAAAGACATAATCTTTTAAAAGATGCACCGCTTAGCAAATGAATTAAAGGTAAATCCACTTTAATCCAAACAATGAGGAGGCCGAGGAATGGGGATTGCCACAAATATCAGGCCAGCCTAGACCACAGATAAAGACCTCAAAAAAGCAAGAGGATGAGGTGTGGGGAAAGGAGAAGCCGGGAGAGAAGGATGACAGGGAGGAGAAGAAAGGAGAGGAGGAAAATGAGAAGGAAGAGATAAATAAATCCACACTGAAACTCTTGTAAGTGAAATTGCAGAACACCAAGGAAGTGTAGCAGAGGAAGCTTCAAAATCTATCAGCGTGAGAAGTAAAAGGATTGCCTAGAAAGGAATGATTAGTTTAGCAGTGGGCATGTCACCAACAAACAAGAAACAGTGTTTATGAACCGGTTTTTAAAGTACTCCAAAGAAACTACAAATATCTTGCATTGTGTAGACTTTCTCTTTCCTTTTCTTATTTTTTTTTTTATCTTGAAAGTAGGGATGGATCCTAGGGTCTTAGGAATGCTCAGAAAGTAGTCTACTTCTGAGCTGCATCCCAGCCCCTGACATAAAATTCTGATCCAGGTAAATTTACATTCAGGGGAGAGCACTGAAAACAACTGTAAACAATGCTGCCTTGTATGCCTTATCCAGATCACTGTACAGAAATCGGCAGTTCAGTGCTACATGGTGCCTGACCAAACCAGACACCAGAGGACTCTGAAGTTGCTAAGGATGTTTAAGTATGCAACACCCACAGGGTCTCTGACCTTTTGCTGATAGTCTCTTTTTGAGACCGGTAAAGAACCATCCTGCTCAGGATGTCTACCGCCAACAAGATGTGGATCATTCAAACAAAGTGACTTTGGACCAAGAAGCCACATGAAGTCCAGAACACAGCCGTGATTGCTGGTGTGGGAACAGCAGTTCCTGGAGCCTCTGGGTGACGCCCAAGGGGAAAGTGTCACATCCTTATGTACAAAGCCTTTTCAAAGGGACTCAAAGTTCTTGGTTCAAGTTCAAACTCATCAAAGTAGGCACAGGAGGTTCTCACAGCTAATTTTACCTTGTAGAGTGGGTGTTTCATCGTTGACTCAGCAACTGTGCTGGGCTTGCCTTTCTCCTGGTTCCAACTAGGAAACTGGATAGGGCAGCCCGCGCTGTCATCTCTCAGGGAGAAATGGAGGCTGATCCCGACGCCACTCCATCTTTCTTCCTTAAGGCGCTTTGAGACCACAGCGGTCAGATTCCTCGAGAAAAGTTGTCATCTACCAAGCTAGCGAGGAGACATGGACATTCAGGAGGTTGTCATCATTGGACTGTAGGGAATGGAGTCCTTGAGGGAAGAAGACTGCTCAGAATGGGTTGCAGTCTACTCAAATGTCCCCCCGAGTCTGAGACAGTCAGGCTCCAAGAGCCAGGCGAAGGACGTTAGGTGAAAGAATACCTACAATGGTTGGAAGCAAAACATTTCCCCCAAACTAACTCACAGATGGGAGATGCTGTGCTTTCAACCCCCGACAGGAAAGCTGTCAAGCAGGACACACTCAGGAAATCCAGACTTCAGCTTGTAGAGTTGCCATTATTCTAGGGCTCTATAACTGTTGGATCCACGAAGGTTGTGCAAAGATGGGGACAGATCACCAAAGTCTAATAAACCAGAAGCAAACTTTATTCCAGGAAAAAAAAAATTAAAAAAAAAAAGAGATCTTCATGGGGCACAAAAAGCTTATCAGCTAGCTGAGAGCACACCAGAGATGGATTGCAAGGCTGTGGCAAAGGCCTGTTTTTGACCTCCTCCTATTATAGCAAGCATTAGGCAATAACAAAAGAATTTTTACAATCTCAAGGTAAAATTCAGACACAAATCGCCCTTCTTTGCAATTTCCAGTAACAGAGTTTCAATTAAACTAGTGTTTGTATTCAGTCCATTGTTTTCCCTGGCACTCCTTGATAGCGTTTACCAAGGCTCTGCACCTCCCCCGACACTGCCAGTTTTGCATAGCAGGAGAGGGTATGGGACAATATAAAACCAAAAAGTCAAAAGTCACGTACATCCCACCATTTAAAAGTTAACTCGGCTCACATCAATTTCTGGTCATGAGTGGCGGGGGGAGGATGTGGGGGAAAGATGGGGTACCTAAAAGCAGATCCTCAGTTTGCACAGTGAACCTAAGTTTGCAGAGGGCCGCTTCAGCCTTGCAGAAAGAGCTACAGGCTGTAAAGTGGAGTGACCCACTGTGCATAGTTTAATCCTTAAGCTGTTGAGAAAGCTGTTGACAGTCTCTTCTCATTCTCCGAGGCTTATAATTTTATATTTCTTTATTTCTACATTCTTATTCCTGGAATATGCACTTTTTTATTCTTGGACTCTTTAATAAGAAAGAGAAAGGTGGGAATTATCTTCTGCTGTAGCCACTGTCCTCGTGTGCCCTCCAGATCTATGGAATGTGGGAGAAGTGATTACAGGTGCAAATAAAGCCCACACTGTAGTTCTAAGACTTTCTGGGGGAATGTAAGCTGTCTCATCAATAGTGCTTTGTTAGTAATGTTTTTTTCTTTTTAAAGGGAGGGTTGCTTTGTTTAATTGTGTTGCTGAATTAACACATGAATAGTTGAATTCATGCCCTCGTTGTGCAAAGCTGTTCTTCCAGTTCTAAATAAAAGTTTTAATGCTGACTGCATACTAAACAGTCAATTCTTGGAAATATTGGGTTAAATAGACCTATTATTGTAATTAAAAAAGATTAAAGACATGAAAGAGAAGTCAATGATAAGAAAAGAGGATCACTTTTTCATCCACTGACCTAAGACGGGGAGAAAGGGGCGCCTCCACATATGGCAGAACCTCAAAGCCTCCTTTGGTTGTTTGATAACAAACAAACCAAAGTAAAGTAGTCATCTTACTTTATGTGACTCTGCTAAATAGCTTCTGCTAAATTTGATTTTAATGTGGAAGCTATTGCTTTATGAATTTCTGTGTTCAGATGATATTCTCAAAAATGGAAAAATAAGGGGATAATACATTTTAAGGGCTTCTTGGGGAGAAACAGAGAGAGGGAGGGAGGGTGAGGAAAGGAGGGAGGAAAGGAGGTGGAAGGAGGAAGAGAGAGAGAGAGAGAGAGAGAGAGAGAGAGAGAGAGAGGAAACCTAGTGGTCATCAAGTGGCTAGGGTATAGTATTTGAATCTCCTCTTTTCAACTCACTTACTAAACACACACACACACACACACACACACACACACACAGAGAGAGAGAGAGAGAGAGAGAGAGAGAGAGAGAGAAACTCACCCCTTAACGTTTGTATTTTGTTACCAGTATTTCAGTTCCCCGGTATAATCCTGTTCGGCAAATGGTTGTGTTCTATTTAGGCGTATTCTTGGCAGTAGCAGCCATGGAATAAATCTTTTAACTATTAAGAGGCTTTACAAGAGGAATTTCCTCTTCAGAAGTCAGCGAAAAGTTTAACGCTTCATTGAACAGGTAATATTTAAATATTTAAGTGGTTACTAGAGCAAAGGAAAAATAAAACAACAAGCAAGATAACAGAGAATTAGAAATGTCAAAATGGTACTTTAATTAAAAAAATTATCTCCTTTGTTATACATTTCCATATGTAGAGGAAAAGAATCACCCATTAGTGGAAGATCACTAGGTAACTGCAAGAGTGTGTTTCCATTTGAGTCTCCTCAGGTCACAGTACATGAACACAAACACAAACACTGCAGATGCCAATTCACATTTAATACAACTTTTGTAGAGGTTTAAATGCAAAAATAACAGCATAGCCGTAGATGGAGGAAATGGTTTGTCTCAGAACCTGAAGAGAATAACAGAAGCAATTCCTAGAACCTTCTGGGCATTTTAGCTTTGCTGAGCATCAACTGTCATTGGTAGGCAAAGAGAACACACCAGGAATTGCCAAAAGGCAATCAAGTGGGCTTTCATTTTTGTCCCCACCACTGGTGGTGTAGGCATGAGTCCATAACATGCCTTAACCCACCCCTAGAAAAGTAATGTAGCTCTCCTATCAGGTTAAAATTTCCAAGGCAGTTGTGTTTTTTTGGGGGGGACCATTATTTCTTTAGAAAAGTTTCCAGGTTTAGGAGTGATAAGTTTGTATCCAGTTGAACAAGGAAAAACTGAGAGGTAGTGAGGCTGGAGTAATACACTCCTATTTTTTTTTTTAAAAAAAAGCACTGAGAAACAAGCAAATTATTTTGAAAATATAAAGTGATATATAAATAGAATATATTCAATAATTCAGATTTATTCTACATTTCCCACACAAATTTACATCAGAAATATTACTTCATAAACCCCAATGGTCTGCACAAAAAGAAATCTTTGAAACAGAACCTTATTAAATTCTACATTTAAATACACATGCAAACTTTGCATGTGTATGTTCTAAGGATGGCTAGCCAAGTCTCTGCATATGGTAAAACCTCTAAGATTATCTTGGACTTGGATTGGGACAAAGCAACCTTTACAGTGTGTGTGACTTTATAGCCAATCTCCTGCCTTCTATGGCCGTGGAGCAGGATGATCCACTACAGGCCAGCACACACTATCTACACTCAAGGCTAGAGCATGATATTGAATTTATATGCTTCTGTGTAGACTTCTATGTGGGTACATAAATCACTACTGCAGCTGCTCTTGTCCCTGCCCATCCACTACATGCCTTTCAACATTACTCAAAAGAGAATCATGAAATCTTCACATTTTATAAATATATTGTCTCTACAAATGTAAGGAAACAGAAAATATTCTCAACAAAAAGCCAAACATTTATAGATTTCCATTATTAAAAATGTTCTTCTTTCTTTTTTTCCTTTTGTTATTTTTGAGACAAGGTCTTACTCTATGACCCAGGCTAGTCCGGAGCTTACTATTTTGCCCAGTCTGGTCTTGAATTCATAGCAATGCTTCTGACTCAGGCACCAGCCATAGTGCTGGTTTAAAAGATTCTCTCTCTCTCTCTCTCTCTCTCTCTCTCTCTCTCTCTCTCTCTAGTTGGAACTGAGGTAGCTTTCACTTGAGTCTTTGTCTTTCATTCATTTTCAATTCTGGTGTCTGCAGTTGCATTTTCAAGGTCCGTCTGGATTATGGCCTGAATTCTGTCTGCAAGAGCATAGCATTTCATTTTTCTGAGGCCTTTAATCAAAGTGCGAAACGCATCCCTCCTCCCGTGAGTTTGATACCACCGCCGAAGCAGCTGGATTTTCTGCTCAGCTGTGTGTTGGAGATTGTCATTCTTGATCTCGTCTATCATCACCTCCGACATCCCATTCTTCCGGACAAATGTCATCACTTGGTCTAAAGACATTTCTTCAGCAATATGCAGGATGTATTTATGCAAGTCAACGTCTGGAAAACAGAAAATACTCTCTGAAAATGTCTTTCTATGAGAGATTTCCATTACTGAAACCATGTTCATGTCTCCTCTCAAAATGTGGAGTACAGGTGAGTCCTATAGATGCCTAGAGAACAAGCTAGAGTCATCCTCGCAAGCTCGCTGTGGCTTCTATAGTTTACTCTCTGAGCTGGGCATACATGATATCTTTACGTCTTCTTATCTCAGTCATGAAAGCAGAAGTTGTTTTTTTAAAAAAAAAGGATCATGTCAAATGCCCCCTAGAGATGTGATAAACAGACCCACAAACCTAAAAGGTCAGTTCTTCCTATCCCTGAGTCAGAGGTCAAAGGACAGGACCAAATAAAACTGGACATGTTGTTCTAGAGGGGAAAACATGCTAACTTTCTATGGCTCCATTTGACCTGGACATCAGTTTACAGGGAGTTTTGTGATATAGCTGATTGGGAAGAAATTGTTCTTAAACCTCTCGTAATGTGCTGTCTTATCACTACCTGGTTTATTTTTAATTAAGGCTGTTATAAATTTAAACTCTTTATAGAACTGACAGTTCAAATATCAGGAAAGCCTACAATGTCTCTGAAATTTAAAGACTATTTCCCTCTAAAATCTTAGGGTCCGTTCCAGTTTAGGCTTATTCTGACAAAGCCACTTCTGTGAAATAAAATAATAGAAGGACTCACCTGGGAGATTCATTGGCATGTCTTCCTGGGAGGAATAAAACCGAGAGAGAGAGAGAGACAAATACATACTTAAATGTTATCCGATTCTTTCTAAATTCAGAAGGAAATAGAATACAATTGTCTAGTGTGTATATATATATATGTACATATACATATATAGTATATGTATATATAATATACACATGTGTATGTACATGAATTTAGAAAATTAGACTTTTTGGTTAAGATGAGTTCTTTCAATCATTCAATTTTGATCCTAAAAGATTCCATCCTCCTGTGGTAGATTCTATCTAGCATTAGTGCCATGGCTAGCTAAAGAGAGCCATACTGTGGCCATTAAGTGAACTTTAAGAGCAGAACCTTGGCTGGAGTTTGGAATCTGAGTCCCACACTTTGATTAATAGCATTTCTGGAGGGAAAATAGCAAGGTGAAACATGGTGCTTTGTACATCCCTTTTCCAGCTCTCACTGGCAGACTTCCAAGCTCTTTCATTGCTCCTTATAGCATTTGTGTAAAGCCTTGGAAGGGTTTATTTGATTCTGGAAATACCTCTTGTGAGCTTGCCTTCAGAAATTCAACTTTTTTCAGCCAGCTTCGTAATATGCTTTGAGACTGTTTAAAACTACTTATTCAGCCTGTTTCCTTACTGCTTCTACTTAACCACCTTTAAGAAAGCAATCCAACCAATCCAGCTACGCCTTGGCCTTCCCGAGTAATCAGTATTTTTTTTTTTTTACAAGCTAACTTTAATCTTAAAGTGGGCTCCTTAATCATGTCCCCGTCCAGATAAAGTTTGTGTGCATGAGTGCTGAAATGACTCAGTCTAACACCGTTCCCTGGCAGCAGCCAGTTAGACTGCCATCAACCCCAACAAACATCCACTGTAAATGCTGAAGGCAACGTGTAAATTCAGGGTGAAAAAAATCTGCTTTTGGTTTGGAGTGTCCCTTTGGGTTACTAGGGGTCCCAGACAACTTCTTCCCTTGGAAAACTCTGGTAAAAGAGTCTTTAACACCAAGTTTTATGTTTCTTTACAATCATGCTTTCTTGTTCTGCCTAACAGATAGAGCACATGGTCTCTTTGAGAAAGAAGTGGACAGGTCAGAACAGGCCCCATCTTGACTCAAACGACTATAGAGTTAGACGCTTTTATGTAGCACCCCACAAAAACTTACTAATAAGTTCACTGCTGTTGTGTTAGGTTTTTATTACTGTTGCTCTAACCTGTGCATGGACAAACACATATTTGTTTTAAAGAAAGTACCAATATTTGTTTGTTTGCTTTTTTGTTTTTTAAGAAAGCCAATGCAACTTTGCATACTCACAGAATTTGCAGTCCCAGACTCAGGGTCACCATGAGGTTTTCTCCAATACCTCCAATATAAAAGCCCTGAAAGATCAAAGAGACCACTGTGAGGATCAGATGCTATTCTGATAGGAAATCCTCACACTAAAAGGGGTTGAGGAGACAGCTTCATGTTCCCCCAAAGAAGGAAAAATTAGAAGATTCTGAGTCCCTGAAAGTTGATGTATCTTCTCCTCGCTAGGCTTCAAGGTGATTTTCTAGAATAACAATGATGAGACCCAGCTTTCCCTTAACTTTTGACATTCTGAAGTAATTTTTGGACAAAGCATGTTGAAGTTAAAGACACAAAATAAGAAAGAGAAAGCAAAACATAAATAAACATAAAAATCAAATAAACATTAAAGTAAATGGTTTATTGAGGGAGGGCAGCCCCAGAGAAGGTCAGTTGTTGTCACACTCTCCCCAGCTTTCTGTGCTTTCTCAGTGGGCACAGCGGCTACTTCCTATGTCATTTCAACTTACCGTTTAAACAAAAAGAGGACTTACCAAACAATATTCCCAAAACGAGGACGACGATGCACGGCCATAGGAAATGATATCTGGTACCTGTGGTTGGGAATATTGGACATTTTATATGAAATTAAACAGCTTTTAAGATGAAGTGAAGCTTTTTTCTCTCAATCAATAACAAACCAATAAGCTTTTATTCTGACGTGATGATAGGGATGTTAAAAAAAAATAAGCAAATGATTACTTTCTTGCTTGCATTTGGTGTTGCTGGTTGATGTGCACCTCTCAAGGATTCCGTGTTCACACCTAGGGGGAAAAGGCAGAAGAAGCTTAGAAGGTCTGCATGGATTCCTTCCTATCTTGCAGTGTACATTACACATTAGGGTTCTTTTTATTTGCCTGCTCTTCTCCCGCACTTGTTTCCTCTCAGACGTTTCTAGATCACCATCAAAAGATGGCACAAGCTAAGAACTGTGATGAGTGTTTGGTTGAACGATGTTAAATCTACTTTAAGATATAGGAGCTAGAGAAATGGCTCAGTGGTTAAGAGTGCTTGTTGCCTATAGAGTGGATCAGAGAGCGGTTCCCAGAACCCACACCAAGCACCTCTAACTCCATCTCTGGGGCATCTGACAGCATCTTCTGGTCTCCCCACCATTGCATGCCTCCCAGCACCATCACCAACCTAAGCAGTCAGCAGTGTCACTTGAACAGAGTGGTTTGGGTAATGTTCAGAGACTGGAAAGTACTCAGTGATGTCTGGGGCTAATTGGTGGTAACTGAGCAAATGGAAGAGTCAAGACTGTAACTTGAGTTCCTAACTCCCACTCAGCGTGGCTCTTCTCTAGAAGGGTAGGGTCTCTCAAGTTGTAGCTAGTGTTTTAGGCACTGAATACTAAAACTTACGAGACGCAGGGATCACAGTGTTCGCAGACAGGAGCATTGCAATAGAAGTTGGATTTGCACTTGCATTTGGTATTCTGGGTCCGGGTGCAGTTTGTTTCTACTTCTAAACCTAGAAAGCCAGTTTATAAAGCATTCATTGTAGCAGCTAGTTCAAAATAAGCTATGAAAATGATGGCCAGGATTTTCATGGATTTTTTTATATCTACTGTTTATTATCAACTGTTACACAATCACACCTTTATGGCAATGTTTACTAATAAATAATGACAGTACCAGATTGAAAGGCCCAGCAATCAAGTGGAGTTGTTAGTGGACAGATAAACCAGAAAGCCAGACTGAGGTGAGATTCTCCTCTGTATGCTGTGAATATGTTTTATTACCATTGGTTAATAAAGAAACTGATTTGGCCAATACTCAGGCTGCATAGAGACAGGCAGAGGAAATCCAAGCAGAGATAGAGAGAAAAAGAAGACAGAATCTGGGAGATACCAGCCCAGCCACCAAGCAAACAAGACATGTAGAAAATGAGATAATGCCACTGCCACATGGCAATACATAGATAAATAGAAAGGGGTTAATTTAAGTTGTAAGAGCTAGCTAGTAGGAAGCCTGAGCCATTGACCAAACTGTTTGTAATTAATGTAAGTTTCTGTGTGTTTACTTGGTATTGGGAAGCTGGGAAATAAAAGCACAGTCTCCACTTACACCAGACACTCTACCATTGCTTAGATGGACCCTCCCTTTCTTTCATTGAAAACCATGAACCTTAAGTACATAGCCTAGAAACCATCATCATCATCATCATCATCATCATCATCATCATCACTGTCATGTCTAGCATGTTGGAATGCTACATGATGCTAGGCTTAAACAGACACATGTTCAGACTCGACTTGGAGATTCTGATTTAATTGAGAGTTAACATCTATGCATTAGTATTGCAATAGCTTCTTGAGCAGCTCTAGTGTACAACCAGGGTTTGACATCATTTTTTATAGTCTGATGTAAATGCTTTATGAGAGAGAGAGAGAGAGAGAGAGAGAGAGAGAGAGAGAGAGCTTTAAAACTTGATACAAAGAAGTTTTTTTTATATCAAACCAAAGTATGGCTGTTGCTACTGCTTCTTTATTTTGTTTTCATCTTGGTCTTGAGAATGGATTGAAATAGCTACAAAAATTCAGGTCCCCAGATAGAATGATGTAGACTAGAGCCCCAAAGATGAGGGAATATTCTCCCCATATCTTGGGTTTCTCTGTACAGCCATGGACTGATATGGGATGTCCTTCTATATATGTGTTGTTTCTATTGGTTGATGAAAGTTGTTTGGCCAATGACTTGGCAGAGTAAAACCAGGTGGGAAATCCAAACAGAGATATAGAGAGTAGGTGAAGTCAAGGAGATATTATGCAGCTGATGAAAGAGAAAGATGTCAGATCATTACTGGTAAGCCACAGCCTTGTGGCAATACAGAGATTAATAGAAATGTATTAATTTAAGGTGGAAAAGCTAGCTAGGAATGCACCTGAGTTATTGGCCAAACAGTTGTGATTCATACAGCTTCTGTGTGGTTATTCGGGTCTGGGTGGCCTGGAAATGAAAGTGCAATCTCTTACAATGAACAAGAATCACAAGACAAGTTTAAATAGATGTGGGGAAAAATAGCTTCTATAGGTGACTTTGATTGCAACTGGTACAACTCCACTCATTGGGTTATTTTGTCTTTTGTCTCCATTTGAGAGAATTGCTGAGAAGACCCTTAAAAGAGATTACTACCTTAGGATCTGACTCCACATAACCCAGCTAACCTCATTCTGCACCCTCCTGTATGCTAGTATGGTACTAGAGTAGGTCTCGATCTCAAACTGTGTCATATGTGGTTCTGCATGATCCACACATTTTCAGTTGCTCTCTTAGATACATACCATGCTCTCCATCACAGAATGTACATCTTCTGCATTTATCAGAATAATGTTTCTTGTCCATATATTCCTTCCCTTCTTCACAGGCAGAGCAAATTGGTTTACCACCACTGGTTGTACAGTCCAAATATTTTCGTTCACCTATCATGAAGAAAAAAAAAGATATAAAGTTTTTGGAGCTGAGGCAGTCTCCATGTAAGAACATGAGAAGTATGCAAAGATGACAATAACAAATCTTAAAATCAGAGAATGATACATTAGGCTAATTATATGCAAACACCCTGGAAAAGACAAATCACTACTGGGAAAACAATCATATTGAGAGCTTTCCAAACATGAAAGGCAAAAATGTTTTCCCATAAAAAGTAGAAGAGTTAGCAACAGAAACACTGGGAGAAAAACAATCAAAGACCAAATGCTCTTTCCTGGAGAGAAGAAACTAGATAGTTTCTATCTATCTAGGTGGCTGTCCTTGGCTTCTGAGAATATGAAACAAACTCATTTAGTTCTTATTCACATTTTATCTTCCCAAATTCATAAATCCTAGTCATAAAGAATACAGTTTAAGCAAAGGAACATTGGAAATTTCTAGAAATCTCCATCAAATCTTTGATAGAGCATTTAGTGTCTAAAGCCTAAGTTTTTGTTATGTAAATCATGAAGATTTTTCTGTCATTACTATTAGAACCGTACACATGCCTTTCTATGACCAAGCATTACAGAACACTGCCTTCTGGAAATAACAACTGTTTGTTATATTAAATAATTATTGTGTGCTAAAGGATCTCTAGGAGCTGAAGGAAGTCCTGCAGAAAGCAAGACAAAAGATTAGCTTCCTGGACCTTCACCTTCTCAGACAGAGATGCTAAGTGGTAGCAAGTGCCAGTGGGTAATGAATAAAGCAAAAAGTTTTGTGAAATATACAGGGAAGTGTAGCAAACTGAATCCAAAAACACATAAAAAGAAATCATCCACCATGATCAAGTTGGCTTCATTCAAGAGATGTAGAGATGGTTCACCATATGAAAATCTATCAATGTAAGAAAAAAAAACATATAGTCATCTTATAAGATGCTGAAAAAGCATTCAACAAAAATCCAACACCACTTCATGAAAGGGTTTTGGAGAGATCAGGGATACAAGGAAATTATCTAAACATAATAGAAGCAATATACAGCAAGCGAACAGCCAACATCAAATCAAATGGAAAGAAACTCAAAGTGATTCCACTAAAATTGGAATAAAACAAGGCTGTTCACTGTCTCCATATCTATTCAATATTGGGTTCAAAGTTCTAGCTAGAGCAATAAGACAACAAGAGATGAAGGGGATACAAATCAGAAAAAAAAGAAGTCAAACTCTCACTATTTGCAGATGATATAATAGTATATATGGACCCAAAATCTATGAGGGAACTCAGACAGCTGATAAAAAGCTTCAGTAATGTGGCAGGATTCATGATTAACTCAAAAAAAGAAAAACTGGTAGCCCTACTATATACAACTGATAAAGGGACTGAAAAAGAAATCAGAGAAACATTGCCATCTACAATAACCACAAATGACATAAAATATCTTGGGGTAGCATTAACCAAAAACGTGAAAGACCTCTGAAACAAGAACTTTAAGTTATTGAGGAAAGTAACTGAAGAAGATATCAGAAAATGGAAAGATCTCCTATGTCCTTGGATAAGTAGGATCAACATAGTAAAAATGGCAATCTTACCATAAACAACCTACAGATTTGATGCAATCCCTATCAAAATCCCAAAATCATTCTTCACAGACCTTGACAGAACAATTCTCAACTTCTTATGAAAAACAAAAAACCCAGAATAGCCAAAACAATCCTGTACAATAAAGGATCTTCTAAAGACATGACCATTCCTGACCTCAAGCTCTATTATAAATCTACAATGAAATAGAAATTGAAAATAGCTTGGTATTGTCATAAAAACAGAAAGGTGGACCAATGAAATTGAATTGAAGACCCTGATATTAATCCACACACCAATTAATACCTGATTTTTGACCAAAAAAAAGCTAAAATTATACAAAGGAAAAAAGAAAGCATCTTCAACAAATGGTGCTGGCATAACTGGATGTCGACATGTAGTAGAATGAAAATAAATCCATATCTATCCCCATGCACAAAACTAAATGGATCAAAGTCTAAATGGATCAAAGACATAATATAAATTCAACCATACTGAACCTCATTGAAGAGAAAGTAAGAAGTAGCCTTGAACACATGGGTACAGGAGACCACTTCCTAAGTATATCACCAGTAGCACAGACACTGAGAACAATAATAAGTAAATGGGACCTCCTGAAACTGTGAAGCTTCTGTAAGACAAAGGACATAGTAAATAAGACAAAATGGCAGCTTACTGAATGGGAAAAGATCTTCACCAACTCCACATTAGACAGAGTACTAATCTCCAAAATGTATAAACAACTCAAGAAACTAGACATCAAAATACCAAATAATTCAACTAAAAAATGGTGTACAGATCTAAACAGAAAATTCTCAACAGAATAATCTCAAATGGCAAAAAGACACTTAAGGAACTATTTAACATCCTTAACCAATAGGAAAACGCAAATCAAAATGACTCTGAGATACCATCTTACACCTCTAAGAATGACTAAGATCAAAAACACTAATGATAGTGTATGCTGAAGAGGATGCAGAGTTTATAAAGAGAACACTCCTCCATTGCTGGTGGGGGTACAAACTTGTAAAGCCACTTTGGAAATCAGTATGGCAGTTTCTCAGAAAATTGAAAATCAACCTACCTCAAGACCCAGCAATACCACTCTTGGGAATATATCCAAAGAATGCATACTTATACCCCAAGGACATTTTCTCAACTGTGTTCATAACATTATTATTCATAATAGCCAGAACCTGGAAACAACCCAGATGCCCCTCAACTGAAGAATGAATAAAGAAAATGTGGTACATTTACACAATGGAGTACTACTCAGCAATAAAAAACAATGACATCTTGAAATTTGCAGGCGAATAGATAGAGAAAGATAAAACAATCCTGAGTGAGGTAACCCAGACCCTGAAAAATAAACATGATAAGTGGATATCAGACATAAAGCAAAGGATAGCCAACCAATAGTTCATGACCCCAGAGAAGTTAGGTAACAAAGAGAACCCTAAGAAAGACACACATGGATCCCCCTGCAACGGGGAAATAGACAAGATCTTCTGAGAAAATTGAGATCTTGGGGATAGGGGAAGAAAGAAGGGAAGAAGGGGAGGAGGAGAAGAGAAGGGAAGGGAGGAGAAGAACATGAAGGAACAGGATGGTCTAGATGGGGGAAGGACAGAGAAGGAGAACAAGGAAAGAGATATCTTAATTGAGGGAGCAATTATGAAGTTAGCAAGAAACCTGGTACTAGGGAAATTTCCAGGAATCCACAAGGACAACCCCAGCTAAGACCCCAAGAAATAGTGGAGACAGTGCCTGAACTGGCCTTCTCCTGTGATCATATTGATGACTATCTTAATTGTCATAGAACCTGCGCCCAGGAACTGATAGAAGCAAATGCAGAGATCCGGTACGAAGCACTGGGCTGAGTTCCCAAGGTCCGGTTGAAGAGAGAGATGAGCAATAATATGAACAAAGGGATTAAGACCATGATGGTGGTACCCACAGAAGCAGCGTACCTGAACTAGTGAGAGCTCACTGACTTCAGACTGACGGCTGTGGGGGTGAGGGACCAGCATAGGACCAGACTAGGCCCTCTGAATATGGGTGACAGTTGTATGACTGTGCGGCCACTTGCAATGGCACCAGGATTTTTCCCTGGTGCTTGAACTGACTTTTTGGAGCCCATTCTCTTTGGAGGACTACCCTGCTCAGCCTAGATATAGTGGGGAGGACCTTGGCCCTGCCTCAAAGTGTTGTACTAGACTTTGTTGGCTCCCCATCAGAAGCCTTATCTTCTCTGAGGAGTGGATAGGGGTGGGGTGGGAGGAAAGTGGGGAGAGTGTGAAGAGGGGAGGGAGTGGGAACTGGGATTGGTATGTAAAAATGAGAAAAGGTTGTCTTTAAAAATAAATAAATTTAAATTTTAATAATCCATACAACTGAGAATTAGATTAGAAGTATATCAGAGATGTTGACACACTTAGGCTCTGATTGATACAGACTATTCCAGCCTTTGATCACTCCAGAATTTACATGTACAATCCTACAGAGTTGGCCATCAAAATAAAATGCCATACACACAAAACTTTCAGTTTCCAATGCATTTTGTTCCTATAAATAGCCCATTGCTGCGTCAGTGAGTAAAAACATCATGTGGGGTTCTCAACACATCTCACAATTTTCCTTCTTAAAAGTTTGCTGCAGGCATGAGATTTCCCTTTTAAAATACAAACAAGACAAAAAGTACAGTAAAAGCACACAGCTGAGATCTTTGAGAGCTTAGCATGCAAAACACATCACCTCTGTTTTAGCTTGCACTTGAAATTTTAAACATATCATCCAAAATTTCAAACTATAGATATGGGTTTCAAATTCAGAGGCTAAAGTGATTGTCTTTAGCGACTTAAAAAAAAAAAAGTAGATGATTCCCAATTGCTATTTGGAAAACGGGAGCTGTGCAGAAACTTCGGTATAAGTGGGTTGTATCATAGGGGAAACTTTCTTGCTATTCTTAGGAAAACCTAGAAAGGAAGGTGCCCCATGGAGACTGCTGGAGTCGGTCCGTACATGACCTGGGCCTGAGAAGCAGTGATGAAACCTACAAAAGCCTTCTGGAAGTCTATGACTACTGCCTGTAACCTGTAGAACAATCCTAAATGCCATCGGGCCTTAGCCTTGATTTGTAAGTAACTGTGGTCAACCCCAACGTGAAAACTGAACTTACAGAATTACATTTTCCTTATGTACCTCATGTGCCGGTACTTGAAAGAGTTTTAGTTAAAAAGTGCTCTGCATTTCAAAACACTGAAGTTTTAAAAACTTTTTGTTGCTGTTCGTTGCTTTTCTAGCATTTCTGGCTTTTCAGCCGCAAAATGCAAATGTATTTTGCAGGCTTCAGTGCCAGGACAGAGAGCTTTAGTGAGAGACTGAAGAGAGGGGCTGAGACATACAGCTGAGGGTGGAAATTCCTGGCTGAGGGAGCCCCAGAGTTAGTCAGCTCTGAGATGACAGGCTTTTAACCATCACAAATGACTCCTGCTTAGCTCCTGAGAAACAACTAAATAGATGAATCTTTACATTTTAGACATATATGCAATTTGTGTATTACATTTTTTTTTCACAAGTACCCCAGACATGTGAGATAAAGATAGAAAAAAAAACCCAAGATTTGTGTTTGGAGGATAATTTTATAGTCTTCCCCTCACCTCTTCTTTGTAATTCTATACACCATAGGATGGCCAATAGCTGTATAACTAACTGCCCAATGCATTCTTACCTGTAGGACATCTCAACCCCTTACCCCACTTCTCTGGATGTTTCGTGTGACCTACCAGGCTGGCATGGTTGACAGCAAAATTGGCCCCCATGATATAATCCTTCTGGGCAGTTAGACTCAGTTTCACGGACATTCCTCCTCAACTTCGGCCCCTCAGAGATGCTACCAGTCTCTTGTGATTCAGCAAGCACCTGTGGAAAAAAAAACATACTAAGGATCTTAGTGATATCAGAACCAAGAGATGTGAGAAATATGTGTCACCCACCCGAAGTGACTGGATCTATGTACAGGCTTAGCAAAGTCATGCTGATGATCGTCAGGGGAGGGGCACCCTGTGGTTCTGCAGGTCCAACCACAGGTTTTTCTAGCCCACACTACAGACACAGGGAAGCCCGGCTCCACTGTTCCATGCCTGGTGATGGGGGAGGAGAAAGGGGAATCCCTTACGGTCTCTCAGTCTCAGGTTCTTCATCTCAACAGTGGAAATAATCCCTACCACACAGATCTGATGTGAGAATTAAATGGAACTATGTGTTTAAAGCTCTCAGCACAACACTGGGTACTTAAATGTTCCCTGAAAGTGACAGTATTGCTATTGTTACTATTGACATGAAGTTCTAACAACAAAATAAAGGGAAAAGTTCAAAACAAACATAGTTTGAAACCTAGTTTTCACCACCAATAGTGACTAACTTTTCTGTGCCTTAATTTCCTTATATGTTAATGAGATTAGTATTTTCTGTCTTTGAATGTTAATCGTGAAGATGAAAGTGGTCACTTCTATCAGACTTGATACTTAATCAGAGCATGTCTATGCTTCCTTCTTGCTACCCAACACAGAATCAAAGTTTTGATCAATGTCAGATCAATGTTTTACTGTTGACCAAGGATACAATAAACTTCCCATTAAATCCATATGGGTCTCTTCACCTTGTTCAAGAAATATATACATATATATGTTTTCATTATGGAGAATGAATCTTTAAATCTATTTTAATTGTTTTCTCCTGAAGATATAAACTCCAAATAAATGGTTCCAAATAAAGTTATGTCCATTTTTTTAATTAATTAATTAATTGCTAGGTATAGAATTGGAGTTTCTTGCGGGGGAGGCAAAAATATGTATTGAAGCAACTTAGAGGTGACACCTGCAAGATTCCTTTCTCAGGATTTCTAAGTATATTTTACCCCTCTGAGGTAGTTTAAATAAGAATGACCTTGTAGATTCATATATTTGGAGACTTAGTCATCAGGGAGGGATAGCATTTGAAAGAATTAGGAAGTGTGGCCCGGTTTGGAGTAAGTGTATCACTGCAGGTAGGCTTTCAGGCTTCAGAAACCCAAGAGAGGACCCGTAGCTTTCTTTTCCTGCTGCCTGCATTTCCCGAAATAGAGTTTCAGTTTCGTCTCCATTACCAGGTCTGCCTGAGTGCCGCCATGCTTCCCACCATGATGACAGGAAACTAAACCTCTGAAACTGTAAGCCAGCCCTAATTAAATGCTTTCCTTTGTAAGAGTTGCCATGGTCATGGTGTCTCTTCACAGCAAGAGAAGGCTAAGACACCCTCTAAACATAAATGTACGTCACTCCTTCTATGGATGATGTATAGAGAGCATTATATATCAACCTTCAAATTTTTTGAGATACTGCTTTTGAATTTGGTTGTCTCAAGATCATTTTCTAGGGTTTCCTGGTACATGATGGAGTGGGAGCTGTTTGTGTAGTTAGCTGTTTTGGTGTTTCTGAGCCAAGAGAATTTAATGATCTTTAGTCACTGCCATAGAAGCCCCCAAGTTCCTCTCATCCTGTCCTTTCTCATCAGTAAAGGCTATGACCCCTTCAGGTCAAGACTACCGTGGGACCTCTGACTGAAGAAGCAGGAAGGAAGCAGTGAAGTGGCCCAGATTTTCTTCTTGGAAGGATGTGTCTAAAGATGCATTTCTGCCATGCAAACTTCTAATAGTGACATCAAAATATCAGAACACATTTGACTTGTCAGGAGTTTCTCACCAGTGAAAGATACAGTTAGAATGCGTCTAAAATTTTCCAACTCCTTGTACTGTGTTCTTTCCCTTGTACTCAGAGGTGAGTAAACTTAACGTAGAACACGACTGACTTGCAAACTTGAGCAACTATCTGTAAAGGACAATAGGACCTGCTGCAAAGAGGAGAAGCCTTGAGCCTAAATATGCTGGCATCGCCCCCAAAGTATTGCCAACGCAACCCAACAGACATTTGTTAAGTCAAGTTCTGATAACATAAATATAAATACAATCGATTATTAATGGAAAATAGGTAAGTTCCCAGAGGCAGATTTGCATATGAATTTGTGCTTTAAAGCAAAATAATATGCAGGGATGTTTCACAGTTCATTTTTGCGTGACTTATTTTTTTTTAACTTTTGTGGTGCTGAGGATTGAACTGAGGACCTTATGGATGTCAAGCGTGTTACCAGCCACTAAGCTCCACCCGCAATCTACTGCATTTAAAACACACTCAAGCCAGGCAGTGGTGGCACTCGCCTTTAATCCCAGCACTCAGGAGGCAGAGATAGGCAGATCTCTGAGTTCAAGGCCAGCCTGAACTATAAGAGTTAGTTCCAGGACAGGCCCTAAAGCTACAGAGAAACCCTGTCTCAAAAAACAAAACAACAACAAAACAAAACAAACAAACAAAAAAAACACTCAAATCTGTCTCTTTTCCTAAGACATTTTTAATATGAAAGCTTACATAAACTATATTTAATGGCATCAACTTTTCTTTTCAGAAAGGCTATATCTGTCTCTTGCTTTCTCAGTAACCAAAGACTGTGTACTGGTCCAGTCCATGCCAAGTTCTCTTTCAGACTGTATCCATCTGCTATGGTGGCAGAACTGGGGACACTAGGGAATAGTAATTTATTTGGAAATATATCAAAGGATTAATTGTTCAAATAAGAGAGGTTTTGCACAAAAGTCATTGAAATTTTTATGACTCCTCACTCTCTGACTGTGTCAAACTCATGCTGGTCAATGAGTGATAAATTATTCAGTTTGGCATTTCAGGAATTAGCAACACATGAAAATTCTCAAAATAGGACTGGCAGATGATGGCTCAGTTGGTAGGTGCTTGTGATGCAGCCATGAAGACTCAACTTGGACCCTCCAAAAACCACGCATTGGGGAAATAGAGACAAGGTGATTACTGGGACTTGCAGTTCAGCTCCCCTAGGTGAATCAGTAAATGCCCAGATTCAGTGAAAAAAGCTTTTCTTAAGAAAATAAGGTGAAGAGTAATTGCAGGAGATACCAAATGTTGACCTTCAACCTCCCCACACATACTCACGACATACATGTGGAGGGATTTGATACGGGAGGGTGGAGAATTCTCTAATCAGGAAAATACCTCAGGGGCTAGAAGCAATCAATAAATCCTACTGGCAACAATAATCAAAACTGAGTCAAAACGACTACCAGAGGAGGGGTGATTCCTTTCTGCCCTCGGCCATGTGGGCTGCTGTAAAGAGTAACGTTGGTGTTGAGTCAAACTTGCTTTTCTTTTCTGTCAATTCTGGCTTTTTAGTAAAAACAAGAAAATGACACAGATTGAAACTCAGAGAGAGGGCATTTGTAGGGTTGGGGCTAGCCCAAACAGAGAAATCTAAAGCACTCAAGCTTCATGCCCAAGTGTGTATATGTGCATGCGCCCTGTGGAACCAGAGCTTGTCCTTGGTATGAAAATTTTAACCGACATCTGAGAGAAACTATATGTGCAGGTCCTCAATTCCTAGCATGAATGGTTAAGTAGCCGGAACAGAAGGACAGAAATCCAAACATTTATGGATTGCTGCCACTAATACCTTTCCCAGAAAAGGATACGTATATTATGCCATTTGGAGATTTCTAAAGGAAATGTACCTCTCGCCCCTACTTCACCCAAGTTACTAGGGATTCTGTGGCCTCACATTCAAGGTCTACTGGGCTACAAAGTGAATTCAGTGCTAGCTTGGCAACTTTATGAGACCATCGCAAAATAAAAGGGTGGCTCTTGTTTCTAAAGGAGGACTGGGAATGGAGACCAGGTACAAACTGGTAGCAAACAGGCCTAGCATGTCTGAGTACTTTCCTAGGACCAAGGGCAGGGAATCATTTTCCAAACTACATTCAGAATCTAAGAAATGTAAAATTCGTAATCAAGATGAGTAAAGAGACTACAATCTCTAGAGCTGTCCCGGCAGCAACCTCACAGAGTTGATTTCTTCAGGAAATGTTCCTGATTTCCGACACCAACTGACTATGTCAGGTGCCAAAAAGATGGTCTGAAGTGCCTCTCCTGACTGTTTCCAGAGGTGAGGCAAGCCACACTCCACACCTTGCATTTAAAAACTTTGGCATTTAAAAACTCATCTTTGCGGAATGCAATGTGTTTGGTCAAAACCATCACCGCAGCTTCCTAATACCCCTTTATACAAAGAGTCTAGAATGTTATAGTTGGGAGCCTCATCCCAGCACCTGGCACCCATCCTTGGAATACTGGGCAGGAACTCCTTTTCAAGCTCCCTCCCCTGGGAGTTGCCTTAGTCCAAACTCCACCTCAGAGAAAGCCCAAATGGTAATCCCTTCCCAGGGAAGGTCAAGACCACTCCCACAGGCTACTTAAATTGCCCCCCCACCCCAAAGAATGTACATGCGTTCTCTGGGTTTTGTGTGGTCTCCCCTTCTCTCTCTCTCTCTCTCTTCCCTTTGCCATGATTTCCCAGTGCCACCCAGAAGCATTGCATTAAACATGGGCATCTTTTATTTGGTCTGAATTGGTCTGATTGTAGTTATTTGCATCGGTGAAGAGGATCGTTTAAGAAATATTCATAACACAATGATCTAACTGAAATAGTTTAGGTATGATAGGGCAGGAATTCCACACAAATCTAAATGTTCTGGTTTTTTTGTTTTTGTTTTTGTTTTTGAGAAACAGATAAAAACATAAAAAATGTTAAAGATGGGAAAAGTAGGTAAATTATGGCAAATGACAGGAGGGGAAAGAGGGAAATACAAGCTTGCTAGATACCTTCCTTCCTAAGTAAGATATTTTAGAGCAAGAGAAGTCCTGGTATTACAGTCTATTGAAAGAAGTATTAAGTAAACAAAGGCACTGTTATGTACCTACCGTGTGTCACGCATTGTCTGGTAGATGCCTGAGAACTAGCCAGTGGAAAGAAAGATAAATTCTCTCTCTCAGACTTGTTTATATAGAAGTGAATGCATTTGTCACCAGGGAAGTGTGTGTGAGCACATGCAGATGGGTGGAGCTGTTAGGTTTAAAGAACTGGCTGTGTCAGCCCTCAGATCAGATGCATAAGTCACCAACCAGAAAATCTGCATCTCAAGTCCCAAAACAGTCTGGGGGCAGAAATCTGTCTTACTGAGGAGCTGAGCAGGCTGGTGTTCATTTATTAAAGCACTCAACAAACTGGACAAGGTCTACTTACAATCTGGAGGGTTAGTTGCTTTATTCAGTGTATATCAATTTGAATGTTCATCTTAGGACACATGCAGAATGACTGACCAATGCTCTCAGTGTAAGCTGACATAAATATGAACTATCTCCAGAGAAGAAACACTGAAGAAAGAAGGAAGTGCTATATGTTCGTCAGGGAGAAATCCTACTATACAAATAAGTAAAGGGAGCTAAGAGGCATTGGGAATTTGAGGACTTGGGGCATATTCATTAAGAAAAAGTAATCTCGAGTAGGAGAAAACCAACTAATTTTATTCTGCTAAAAGTAAATAATAATCAGACGACTCTTAATGATATATTGCTATACTGATTGGTCAGTGCCTCACTCAACCCTCATCAGAGAAGCTTCTTCTTGCAGGGTATGGGAATTAATACAGAGACCCACGACTGGACAATGTTCAGAGCATGAGAGACTTAGCATTAGAGCACTTAGTCCTAAATGGGATATCTTTATCAAACCCTGTCCCTCGAGGCCCAGAGACCTATGTGGAAGAGGAGGCAGAAAGATTGTAAGAGCCAGAGGAGGTGGGTCACTTCAAGGAATCAGTGTCTTCCAAACACAACAGGAGTGATGAATGTATGAACTCACAGAGAACACAACAGGAGTGATGAATGTATGAACTCACAGAGAACACACAAAGACCTGCACAGGTTCAAGACAGATGGGGTCCCATCACTGAGAGGAGGAAGTGGACACTGACTCCCGCGCTTAACCAGGAAACTGTTTGCAATGGATACCACTGGCAAAGGGGAAATCAGTTTTCTAAGACAGAGTGTTGCTGAGTTTCTCAACCACATTCGAGGGCAGGTCCTAACCCCAGGGCTAGTTAACCAGCACAAAATGAACTCCATGCTTTTTGTGGCTTCTTGTTCAATTTGGGCATTTATTTCTTCTTCTTCTTCTTCTTCTTCTTCTTCTTCTTCTTCTTCTTCTTCTTCTTCTTCTTCTTCTTCTTCTTCTTCT